TCGAGTATTTCGGTAAATTCTATATTCAGAAGTTTAGGTTCTTCATTGTTGATAAATAATTACCTAAACACATTCTAAATCTGTATTAATGTATGTTAAAATTATTTTCATGGTACATGGACATCATTTCTAATTTTCCAACAGGTAACTTGTTTAAATTTCATATATCACTTAATCAGTGGACACATCCCCAATAAAACAAATTCTATTTTCTAGAGAAACATGAACTCCTAAGGTCTCAAACCTCTTTAACCTTCATACTATGTCACTGAATGATGCAAATATGCATTAAAACAAAAATTTCATATTTTCTAATTTTTCCCGAAATATGTGGGCTAACCCCTACGAAAAAATCGAGTTTTTCGGTAAATGCTATATGCAGAAGTTTAGGCTTTTCATTATTGATAAATAATTACCTAAACACATTCTAAATTTGTATTAATATATGTTAAAATTATTTTCATGGTACATGAATATCATTTCTAATTTTCCAACAGGTAACTTGTTTAAATTTCATATACCACTTAATCAAAGGACAAACCCCCTATAAACTAAAATTTTATTTTCTTGAGAAACATGAACACCTAAGGTCTCAAACTTCTTTAACCTTCATACTACGTCACTGAATGATGCAAATATGCATTAAAACGAAATTTTCATATTTTCTAATTTTTCCTGAAAGCTGTGGGCTAACCCCTACGAAAAAAATAGAGTTTTTCAGTAAATGCTATATTCAGAAGTTTAGGCTTTTCATTGTTGATAAATAATTACCTAAACACATTTTAAATTTTTATTAATGTATGTTAAAAATTAATTTCATGGTACATGGACATCATTTCTTCTTTTCCAATAGGTAACTTATTTAAATTTCATATACCACTTAATCAAAGGACAAACCCCTAGAAACTAAAACTTTATTTTCCTGAGAAACATGAACACCTAAGGTTCAAACCTCTTTTAACTTAATACTATGTCACTGAATGATGTAAATATCCATTAAAACAAAAGTTTCATATTTTCTAATTTTTCCCGATATATGTGGGCTAACCCTTACGAAAAAATTGAGTTTTGCGGTAAATGCTATATTAAGAAGTTTCGCTCTTCATTGTTGATAAATAATTACCTAAACACATTCTAAATTTGTATTAATGTATGTTAAAATTATTTTCATGGTACATGGACATCATTTTTAATTTTCCAACAGGTAACTTATTTAAATTTCATATACCCCTTAATCAAAGGACAAACCCCTTATAAACTAAAATTTTATTTTTTGAGAAACATGAACAAATGATAAATGATATATTCAGAAGTTTAGGCTCTTCATTGTTGATAAATAATTACCTAAACACATTCTAAATTTGTGTTAATGCTGCCCTTACATCTATAAGAACTTCATGACTTGCTTGTAGTCCTCGAATACATGTGCAAAGAGTTAAGAAGATACAATACATTCTGACGAAATATCTTTGATGAGTACATCATCAACTTTGATATATTGAATTAGAAACTCCATAATATTATTATGAGTACAGCATCAACTTTGATCATGAGCCACTTCCCATTTGTAAGTTTTACGTTCTGAGGATTAATTTTCGAGAAGGCGTAGCAGCTTGGAGTAGAAAGTTGTATGCTAGTGTATCCCTCACACAGCACCAGACTATGTGGTAAACACATCAAGAATTCAAGATTATGGAATCGCGAAGCAAACGTAAGCCGTAGATGAGAATCCGGAATGCTATTGCCAACTGGGTTTAGATATTATATCTCCTTTTTTTTCATGTAAACATTTATTAAGCAGTAATGGTTTGTGATTGGTGCAGCAACTACAGTTCCAGTGTGAATTTAGCAGTGTTTCTACTTTAAAGAACCTAAACGCACCGGATCGTCTGAAGTCTATAAGATTATGATCACACATAAACCAACCGCTATTTTTGTCCTATAAAATTAATATTCAAGGAAATAGATTTACATATATTTATGTGCAGCACTGTAACGAAGTGTGTGTCAAAAGACATAGAAGAAAGAAAAGTGTGAGGAGTGTAATCTCTGTTACATACAAAGTGGAGAACATGTCATTAGGTTGCGAGTATGGGGTTCCTTTCTTCATCGATATCTATAGCAAGGACACGGTCAGGGTCAGAGCCGGTTGGTCCTTCAGCGTAAAGGGTCGGAAGATAGGCCTTATATGCCGGCAAATACCGTGACACAAAGTCATTCACCTATATAGATATTTCAACATTCATTGGTTCTATGATATGATAACCACAAGATTAGTAATCGTCTAAGGATGTCAATACCTCATCATCTGACATCCCAGCTTTCCCAGCCTGCCTCATTGCTATTTCCGCCTGTCCAAAACCCAAGTTCAGTATCTTGTTTCTATAGACACGCAGCTAAAACTGTTAAGAAGCTTATTTGTTTGTTAATTAAATATACAAACCTGAAGGCGCCAACGGTATACATAACTTGGGTCCTTGATTTTGATGATGACCCAAGCATTGATGTACTTGTCCCATGCGTCATAATACGCTTCAAGGTTCTTATTCACTATCTCCAGCTTTAGAAAGAAAACAGAGTTAAAAACAAAGATATATAGGTTGATTTACTAATACTAGTATTCTAAAATGCAGTCTAGGCGACACCTAGATGTCCGCCTAGTCGAGAACTTGGACTTAAACGAAACAATTTTTCTAAACCGTTTTTCCAAAAAATCGGTACAGACACCCAGCTAATCAATAATCTCATATAAAACGCTTAAAGACTGCCTGGTGATTTCTTGAATATTGACTAATACTATTCAATGGTAAAGGAATTGAGATAACCTGTGGATCCACTGATTTAACGACTTCAGCAGGAAGAGGTTTAAAACCAAGCATCCATCCCTCATAGAGAATAACCTGGAGAAATCAACCAAAGATGATTTAGTGTTGGTCTAGTTTGAACCGAAACATTTCAAGAAGATAGAAATAAACCTTTAGAGGTCCTTCAACTTCAGGCCATGTTTCTGCATCGGCTCTGTCACCCCTCCCGCTATAGGCAGACTGCAGCCAAATAGGAAATATCTCAAGTAGTTAAGACTTGATTCCTCTGTTTTTCATTATGTGTGATTATTACAAGAAGTGATAAGGCAAGGCAGAGAAGATCAAGCGTTGACTCATAACCTTATCGTACCGAGGAACTTTCATCTTCATGCCTGTTAATGACCCCCCCCCCCCCAAAAAAAAAAAAAAAAATTCACAAGGTAAATTAATAAAGATTAATAACAGCCAAGAGTAGGGACTTGTATTGATGGAAACTAACCGTCCTTGGTCAGTTTAGTCAGGGCTTCTATTGTTTCGACAGAGAATGGAAGATCATGGCTTCCTGCATTTCCACGATACTGAAAACATATATATGAAACAAATGACGATATTTTTCAAACTAAAAAGAATTTGAAGATGATCAGTTTACCTCTAGAAGTGCATTTCCTGGATTATCTTCTCTCAATTTAGCCTGAGACAATAAATCAATCATTGGAAGCTACTAAATGGAAAGAAGAAGGTCCAGACAACAGAGAGTACAAGTAAAGTCTTACCTGGCCTTGTGCAGTCAAGTAAAAGTCGTCTATGGATATTGTCGCCGACTTCCTGAGATATTATTGCATAGAGTTAGTACTAATTAAAGAGAATCATCAAAATAGGATTTAGATTAAAGTAAACTGCTGCAGTAATGGTGGGGGAAATGATACCTTTTTGTAGTTTTGAAAAGATAATCAAGTGCAAACACAAGTGTAGTCTTGCCACATCCTTGAGGGGCGCTAAATCCAATCTGCAATAATATCACATCTAATCAGATCTCTTGATCATCTCCATCATTAATTTAACCAAAAAAGAAAAGAAAGAAACAATTAGTAGCGTACCACTAGTGGAGGCACATCATCTCCATCATTAAACTTGGAAGTATGCAGAGCAATCTGGTCTTCGCACCAAACAAAGACGGGAATATAGTAATGGTAAAGCCGAGCTTTCTGAGGAATGGTGAGCTTAAGCTCATTGAGCTGAAAGAGTCTGCAGAGCTGTGAGCCATAGAGTAACCATTTGTCAATGGACTGGCCAACATTTTCAGGAGTAATACCAATCTTGTCTACGAGGGGACCCGAGCATATGAATTCAAAAAGATCTGAAACTGAAGAGACATCCACTGCCGTTTTTGCTGGCAACGCTGACCATTTCTTCGAGGACGTCCCATTACTCGTAGCATGAACCATTGAATTGTCCTGAATCCACGAGCAACCACACCCTACACGTAAAGAAAATTCAAAGGAGAAGATCATATCCATCATGTATGATTGAACAAGAAGGAAATAATATACCGTGTCAAAATATAGGAGAAGAAACTTGAGAGAATAAAGGGAAGAAGCGTTTTTACCAGACATTGATAAACGGCTTTGTTTGTTGGAGGAGAATGAAGAATCCGTAGTAATGACATGGTCGTCGTTACATATGGAAGAACAAAAACGCCTTTTGTAATTAAAAGTATTGCAGATAGGATTGTAAGCTTGACATGGTAACGGATAACCTTTGACATGAAACCTACTAGTATTATTATTATAATGGTGAAGAGTCGCTTGCCATGGCGACCATATCAAACTTGAAGAAGTTGTCCCCGCCATTCTCTCTCTCTCTCTCTATCTATTTCGAAGCAGAGCGACACATCAGCAAGCAACGAAGAAGATGCAAATTGATGATATTCTATTATTATTATTTTCCAAAGAACAAAAAAAAACAATCTGGCCTACATATATAATGTGTGAGTCATATTCTTCCATCGGATAACGTGTGTTTAATGCACTGTCTGTCTCTCTCTCTCAAAAATCTCAATACTGTTTTTATACCATTGTTTGTATACTAATGTCAATACTGTCTTTTAATAAAAAGGCATTTATTTTGTCCTAATGTCTTCAGTGGATTAATTAATCAATTAATTTATGCTAAAGCTTGAAGACTATTAGTCCGTAGCAGAAATTGCCTGATGAACCAAACCAAAAAAATGTACATCCGATCCGACTTACAATTTAAAAATAAAACACTCGTGTAATACAGACCAGAATCAAAAAAGTCTACACTAAACCGGAATATACCTGTTATTACTCTTCTTGGTATAAATGAGACCTTGGAAAAATTACTACTCTTTTATTTGAGAGAGAGAGGAACAAATGAATGAGGACGAACCGAACCAGGGACCATCACAAATGTTAAAGACAGACGTGTTATATCGGTTAGGAGATGAACCGATTTCAGAATAGCCTCTCAGGTATCTTAGGAGATGTGAACACCGCCACACATTTGAACTGTATAACCAAAAAAAAAAAAAAAAAAAGCTGTTACATCACGCGGCAGATTTGACCGAAACGGTTTAACAAAACCAAACTAAGATGTTTACCTTGTCTTGCCTATACTTCATGCGTATAGAGTTTAAGGGACATCCTTTAGTGTTAAGCTGCAGCTCTTGCAAGGTCTGAACACATGCTTTGAGGTCCGAGGCTTTGTACGTTGTGTAATGCTCAAGTGTTGCATTCTGGACATAAAACAAATAATATAAAGTCGTGTGAAATTCAAGATTCGTGGTACATAACTAACATAAGTGATATGTGTGTCTCAGCGAACAACAACAGACCCAAGGGTGGCTTGATTGGTTCATTGTCCACTTGGCTAGAAAAACAGCCGAAGCAGCTATAACCGAAGGAAGGTACTTCAAGAATTGACACTCTATTAACGTTAATTCCGTCAGATAATTCGCCAGAAACTCCATTTCCAGACTTGGCATCTGCATATCAATATACCAATAAGTCTCAATGTTCGATGAGCATAGAAAGATTGATAGATACACTTTCAGAAGAAAAAGATGACATGAAGCAAAAATTACCAAGTGAGAAGCTTGAGCTGCTCGGAGAAATCTCCTGCAGAAATAGAAATTTCTGAATCACTAAAGAGACTACTATATAACACGTGAAAGCATTTTTCTACTGTCTAGTACTGAGATTACCTTAGGAATGTTTTTGAAGTGGGACTGTAAATTTGAAAGCTAAAATTCTTCAGTACTTGACTCTCCATTTCTAGAACCTGTTCTCTTGTGTAAGTGTTATCCGTGATGAAGCACAACTCTTCAATGCGTGGCGCATAGATTTCTTCATACTTCCTTTAACAAAGTTTCAAGAAACATCATAACTTCTTTTAGATGCTCTGCCTTTCAGACCAAGCATTATTGTTTGATAGATTATAAGGTGATTAGGAACTTACGAAGCAATGAGCATACAAGTGATGCCGAGCAACTGAAGTCTTTGTCTCTCCATGCAGTTCCCATGCAGAAACCAATCTATGAGATACACTGTGAGATAGAGAGTATCGGATGCAAGTGTGTATTCCTCTGAGACCTGGAAATTTTTGACTTGTGAGAAGACTTCAAACGAGAAAACTTAGCAACAAGAAAAAAGATGGATTTAAAACTAAACCTCTACAAGCCAATCAACCAGGATTCCCCGCATTGTCTGAGTCACATCTCTTTGTGTTCTCTCCATAAAATCAGGAAGTGGTCTGCGTTTAAGCTGCTAAAGAGACAAGTCGTTTAGATAACCAGATGCATCGTCCTAAGATCTCAAAATCCCAGGGGATTGTTACCTCAGCAACACGCAGGTTGTGGTAGATATCAGGTGCATATAGGCTACAGAGTAGAGGATCCTTAACATCTAAATCAATGTCTATTAATTTTGGGCTACTTGCCACACTGGAACTTCCTCCAACACAACTTCTCTCAGCTGTAAAACCATTTGCAAGAAGAAGAATAAAAAGCATCAGAAATGTTATAAATCACTCACACAACAACAGTACTTGTCAAACTCACCTGTACAAGTTGATCTCCCGAGGGGTCTTGGAGGCAACTCGGAACTCGGCTTCTCGACAAAGCTACAAGATGCTTCGTTTGTGCATAGGCTTACTCCTGCTGAATCAGACACAACATGTACCTTTGCATCTGTAACTTGTGAGGTAGCAGAAGATGATGCCACTTTGGAAGAACCTTCCCTTCCCTTTTGTTTTACCTGCTTGATATTCTCCACCTGTAACAAAAATGGGAAAGAAACCACAATTGTCAGCAACAAACACATAATTCCTGTCCTCCATTTATCAAAAGAAGCATTGTGTAATAATATAGACAACCTGAATTTTGGCTGCATTTAAGCAGCTAGTGTAAGAATTTTTGCAGGTAACATTTGAAATATCCTTAAGAACAGCTCGCTTCTTAGGTGTATTGTCATTCTTATCATCGGAGGCTGTTCTTTTACTGTTTGCTCTCAGAACCCTTCCTTGGTTAGTCAGTGTAGTAGCAGCAGCACGCAGAGCAGACGCAAGGGCACGAGTTACAGGACGAGCATGGAGCGGAATGGTGTTTACAGAGACAACTATCTCCTTCCCCATGATGGCTGAGACGATCCAAACAACCGTTATGGGGGGTCTTTCTCAGCAGCACATGGTGGAGTAGAGAGAGAGAGAGATCTGTGAAATTGAAGTAGAAGAAGATCAATGATATGAAGATGTAAGAGAGATGTGTATCAAACTAAGCTAGCATGGAAGGTGTTGTTGTGTTAGTCCAGAAAAGGAAGTTGATCTAATAATGAGAGACACGGGTGATCTATCTATCAGGACACAAACCAGAAACGTATCCTACACTCTTTCTCTTTCCAAACTAATCCAGGATAAATTTTAGTTGGAGAAGATGCCATTCAAGTTCCAAAGTTTCAAAAAAACGAAACAGAATCGCAGGAAACTCTCATGGTTGAGAAACAACTGAGAAGAAAAAGTCGTAGCGAATAATTTGGAGATATTAAATTCCAAGGAAAATACACATAATAATGGAAATTTGAATGATAATAACAAGGAAGTACATATAGCTTTTCTGTCAGGACAATTTCGGATGGATCTTCAAAAGAACACTATCGATCCCTTCTTAGAAATACCAAAGAGGAAAGAATCAGATCACTTCTTTTTTTTCTTTTTGTTAAATCCAAGTAAACAAGCTATAAGCAGACAGACCCCTGAGAAAATTCGAATGACCCCATTACTCGAAAAAAAGCTTCATAACATTAAAGAAAACACACATCGGAACATTGCTCTCTACAACAAAGAAATAGAAACGGAGATGATGGAAATAAACTGCGATGGAAACTTACTCTACTCCACTGAAAATTCTTCCTTTTTTTTTCTGAAGAGAGATAGGTGCTCTTCCAAAAAAAGAAAAAAACAAAAAAAAGATGGGAGGAGGTCGGGCAGATCGAGAGAGTTAATGTATAGTCAATTCGCTTTTATGCAAAGGGACTGACTCTCTGTGTAAGTGAGCGGGATACACAAGAGAGAGTGTTTAAAGATATTAATTAAATATTTCACTCACCTTTTTTTTTTATAAAACTTTCTAACTAATCTCGTTGACTCTTTGACCATCAAATAAGGGGAAAGGAATACCACGAACCTAAAAAGTTTATTGTGGAAAATTTTGATTTATACTAGTGATTAATGTCTAATTTTTCAGTTTTGGAATATGTGATTGTGCCTAACTTTTTCACTTAGATGCTAGCTAATCACTTTACCTTAATCACATTTGTTGTTTTGGGTTCTGTCTCGTTTCCATTTCTCCATTAACTTGTAATTAATGAGTTACTTATGATGCAGATGTTGTTTTTCGAATGTTTTCTTACTATTTCTTTTATTTTTACCAGCAAGATTGATTAAATACTACAAAATAAAATAAAGGAACGACTAGGGCTGGGCAAAAAAACCGAACCCGAAAATCCGAACCGAACCCGACCCGATAAAAATGAATCCGAACCGATCCGAACCCGACATAAGTACCGAATGGATCTTGTTTTACGGTATTTCGGGTTATGGGTATTACCCGAACCGAACCCGAACTTAAATGGATATCCGAAAGAACCCGAAACTTTAAAATTCCAAACAAACTTGTATCATATCCAATCTAAATTTCTAATATGTTTTCCAAAACAGATTAATATATTATTGAGTACCTACAATAATTAGTTGGGATATAAAATAATTAACTCAAATATTTAGTCTAATATATAGTGTTATTTAGTTAATATTTATGTTTATGATTGACATTACATTTGAAGTTAAGTTCCAAATAAATTTGTTTTGAAGTTTATATAATATTGTTTTTTTTAAGTTTAAATAGTACTTCTTATGTTTATAGAATTGTTGTTAACATTAATTTTTTATGTTTCAATTATGTATAATATTTTGTTCATACAAGGTTTTGGTTTATCATTAATCATGATATGTTTAGTATTGTCACATATAGTTTAATGATAAATCTTATATGGTTGATAGACGAATTTCACAATATTATTTTGAAGGAGAATAATATGGTTTGTAGAAGTTAAATACACAAATTTAATAAAATGATTGAAAATATAGTGAGTTTAATTGAGTATAACTTAGTATTTTTAGAACCGATAACCCGATTAGTATCCGAAACCGAAATTATTTTGGGTTCAACTGGATCTTGGACATGTTACTAAACCCGAACCGAACCCGACTAAACCCGAACCGAATCCGACCCGAATTTTTATAATATCCGAATGGGGTTGAAATTCATGAACCCGAAAACCCGAAACCCGAATGAACCCGAACCGAAACCCGATTGGGATCCCGATTGCCCAGCCCTAGGAACGACGGTAGAGTTACTTTCCCAATCCCATGAATGTATCATAATTATTTACACACCGTTCAAATGCGATCTCACTCATTTTAAAATCGGTGTTACCCTAGACAGCGTACCTATTCATTCAAAGGTAAATAAAAGTATATAAACCTCCACCACTTCTTTTTTAAATGGTTAAATTTAAACTTTTGAAAATATTAAAAATAAATAACTAGTGCGATAAAAAAACGAAGACCAATGCAGGTCTACTGCTGAATCAGAGTTCTTGTTTAACTTTAATTTTCCTTACGTTTCGATTGATCTTTAAATATTCCTTGAAGCTTATTGGGACACCACCACATACTAATGCTGATCATCCATTCATTCTAATTTATACCTTCGATTTTAAAATGATTCTGTGGAACTTAAAGAATCCGTTTTATTCCCATCGGATTTGCTCCCTTTTTAAAGTATACTTGGACTTTGTCGTGTTTGGTATTGGTTAAAAGATAACATTATGAAGAAAACAACTTTAATTTCGTGTAAAATAAAGCTTGTATTTAATTTTCTCAAAGTTACATCGACCAAAAATATTTGAAATAGCAGGAATCAAGCTTTATAGATCTGATTGTCCTTGGACGCATAAGATTATAATAAAAACAATATAACTATAATAGTATTTCGATGAGTATACAGAAGCGCAGGAACCACTAAAAAAAGATACTTGGAAGTGAATAATAAAGTGGTGGAATCTGCATTTTCAGGAATCGTTGTGTTCCACGACATATGCTTTATCTGATGATCGATTTTTGAGGTTGTATACATTAATTTTGAAAATTAAGAGCTAGATATTTTGGTGTAAGACTAATATGTAGTTCTAGTGGTGTGTGCATTAAGGTAACTTATCAATATATGTATTTAATTTTGCAGTTGTTTTGCATGTGGAGAACGAGTATTCAAAATGAAAATTTGAGAAACTGTTGCTAAAAAAAAAATGGAGAAACCAATCATATTTGAGATACAAAAATGAGATTATACTTGAAATAAAGTTATGAGTAAAATTGTAATTTTATTTGAAAATAAAGTTATAAAAAAAGATGAAAGTAAAAATTGGATTATAAAAAAAAGAAACAGAAAGGGGCCAAAATTGCATGTTGAAAATGAGGAAAGTGGAAGTCGATCAATAATTCACCAATGTCCAGAGGAGATGGTAAAAAAGGAGGCAGTTGAGAAAAAGGTCTATGAAAGTAAAAGCCAAGGGGTTGGTGGAGAAGCCGAAGCTAATAAAGAAAACGTGCCTAGCGAGTTATTCTTAAAAACCCAAGTTAGTTGCAGAAAAATCGAAATGGGATCGTTGGAGATGCTTTCGAGGAGAACACTGGGCACAGATATGCCCGTCATGGCTCAGGTCAACCTCTAACTAGGAATGCGTTTGTGTTTCTGTTTTTTTTTTTTATTTGTGAAAAACGGTTGTGATGGGGTGGTTTTGCGTGCAGATTCGGAAACTAATGGCGGAGTTGAACAATCCCATGTCTCTTGCTCAGGTCTTTCTTGTTTGCCTCTAGAAAAATATGGGTGTATAATTAAAATATAACACATAACTCATGTGATTGCAGGGAGTGGTGCATTGGCAGCCTCCTCAAAAGGCTCTAGAAAAGGTCAAGGAGCTTGTGTGGGATCCTACGGTTAGCTCTTATGGATCCGATGAAGGTATTCCCGAGCTTCGAAAGGCTCTTCAGAAAAAGCTACGTGAAGAAAACAAGCTAGCTAATCCTGCAGTGATGGTTACGGCAGGTGCCAATCAGGTATACACGCGTCTTTGGTGCCAAAAGGGTCTTTTTCTTCTTCTTTTTAGTCTCTCATACTCTGTGTTTTTTTCCTTTGCATCAAATGCAGGCGTTTGTGAATCTTGTTCTTACACTAAGCGATCCCGGTGATTCAGTTGTCATGTTTCAGCCCTACTACTTCAATGCCTACATGGCCTTCCAGATGACCGGAGTTACCAACATCATCGTTGGTCCTGGCCATCCAGAGACTCTCTATCCCGACGCAGGTACCCTCCTTCACTCTCTCTGAATCACATCTTTTGATGAATAGCTTTGAAGTTGTGACTCGTGAGAGCCTCTCTTTTTTTTTGGCAGACTGGTTAGAGAGGACACTCTCTGAGTCTAAACCAACCCCAAAGGTTGTAACTATTGTGAATCCTGGTAATCCGAGCGGCACCTATGTCCCTGAACCTCTTCTTACGAGGATTTCAAAGATATGCAAAGATGCAGGGTGTTGGCTGATTGTAGATAACACATACGAGTGAATTCCTCAACTCATTTGAATGTTCTTTTTTTCCTTCATAATGTATATAAGGGGATTTTTGAAAAATGGTCAGGTATTTCATGTATGACGGTTTAAAACATTGCTGCGTTGAGGGAGACCACATAGTTAACGTCTTCTCCTTCTCTAAAACCTATGGCATGATGGGTTGGAGGCTTGGATATGTGAGTGTGTTCCCTATCCTATATTTGCTTCCAGATTTTGAGTTTTATCTTCAATCATTGAAACGTTTTAATATTATTACACGCAGATAGCTTACTCAGAGAACTTGGAAGGATTTGCGAGAGAGCTTGTAAAGATTCAAGACAATATCCCAATATGTGCCTCCATAATATCTCAGCGCCTGGCTTTATACGCACTGGAGGAAGATGCTGGGTGGGTAACAGAACGGGTAAAGGGTCTGGTGAAGAACAGGGAGATTTTGAAAGACGCCCTTGAGCCTCTGAGGAAGGAGAATGTTAAGGGAGGAGAAGGAGCGATTTACCTATGGGCAAAGCTACCAGAGGAACACAGAGATGCTTTCAAGGTGGTGAGGTGGCTTGCTCACCGTCATGGTGTGGTGGTGATCCCGGGGTGTGCAAGCGGTAGTCCAGGGCATGTGCGGGTGTCGTTTGGAGGGTTGAAGGAGGAAAAAATGAGAGCTGCTGCAGAGAGGCTGAGGAAAGGATTAGAGGAGCTGGTTCACCATGGAATGGTGTGAGTGAGTGAGTGAATTGTTCGTTAATAAAATTAATTTACTTTGCGTTAACTTTGTAGTAGCATTCAATAATAAAAAGAGTGTTTGTTTATTCGATTTCAATAGATTTGTCAGTAGACGAATGCAAATGAAATATGGAGCTTGCGCTGATAAATCTTTGAATAAGACTGTTAACATAAAGAGGAGGTAAAGGGAAGATAATAGACAGTGTTATGATCAAATCCTCTTTAATTTGAAAATTTCAATATCTGAAGGAAGTAATGAAAACACCAGAGTTCGATTTATATAAATATGTTGTAATCAGTATAATGTGTTCACCAAATTCAATTGTACAATTTACCAAAGCAGATATGATCCTTTGTAGAAGAGACAATTGTTAAGGGGATCCGAGTTGCGCTCTATTACTGCTTTCTTTAGTTTAGAGTTTTGTCAACAATCCCAAGTCCCTTAATTATATGCATATCTTATTATATAAACATTGGTTAATGGTTTTAACATCTTTGTGTCAATCGAAACAATACACTCTTTGAATTATAAAATTAAGTGAGCACGTAAAGAAACAGAGCGATAAGGGTCAACCTGCAAAAACACAATGAGCCAGGTTGAATTGAGGCTGAGCCAGCCAGCAACTGAGAGAAGAAGAATCGGGTGTTAGGCCACAGGAGAAGCTGTTTCAGACGAGCCATCACTTGACCTGGAAAACAGAGCAATCGAGGAAGAGTCTAGCGTTCTTAGCTTGAGAAGCAAGTAAAGAACAACTCCACACCCAAACCCTAGGGCTGCGCTTGAGCCGGTCATTGATACAGCAGCGCACACCAACATGATAAACGAATCTTCTTTCGTGTTCATATCTTTAGAAGCCATGGCAAGTTCGATCCCGGCGAACAGCAAGAGAACCCCCAGTATTCCAATCGGAAACTGGCTCAGAATCCTCACAAACGAGTTCCCAAACACCAAACCCACCACCAGTTTCCCGACACCGAGAAAGACAACCGACAAACCACTCCTTGCGCCGAACCGATACTGGCCAGCTAACCCACCAGCACCATGACAAACCGGCATCGCTCCAAACCAGCAGCCGATTAGGTTCATGACACCAACGCTGACGGAGACTGTAGTAGCTGATAGTTCCTTGTCGAACAAGTCATTAGATAATTTGCAGACAGCGATGACAGAGTTGAGCACAGAGAGTGGAATCTGAGGAATCGCGGCCCTTACAAACCCGATCTTCCAATCTTCCCAAGTGATGTTGAGAATCTTGAACTTGGATGGACCAAATTTAAGGTCTTTAAAAATGGATGGATCGCGTATGAAACAGAGCACTAACCCGACAAGGAAGACGACCAGCGCAGATGGAATGGAAGAGAGAAGACGCAGTCTCCTCCGCCGAGATTGTGTCTCGTTGCTGGAACTCTCTGCAAAATCTCCATCTCCGGCGGAGTCTCTGTCGCTGCCGGAGCCGGTGGACAAAATGATGAAGAGCAGAGCAGCAAGAGCCAAGATAAGGCCATCGAGGCCGAGCCAGGAACGGGGAGAAGAAGAGGGCTTGAGAGTGGCAGTGTCGTAATCGTACCTGACGTATTTGATGGCGGTGAAGGCGAACTGAAGACCCTGAGAGAGCTGGACGCCACGTACGACGGGGAGAGGGATGAGGTTGTAGAGGAAAGACATGGCTCCGGTGGCGCCAAGGAGGAGGAGAGTGGCGGCAGTGGATGCTCCGGCGGCGGCTATCTGAGAAGGAGTGAGGTGGGGGGTCTCGGAGACGGCGACGGCGGCGATGGATTTCATGGGCTGGACGGGCATAGGGATGTCGAAGAGGAGGCCAGTGGCGATGTTGTAGAATCCTGTGAAGATGAGAGTCGCTGAGAGATCCAGATTGGAGACTAGAGTCAGGGTTAGGACTATGGGGATGAAGGTTCCCAGATCCCCCACGGCACCGGACAGTTCAGAGGAAAGTGGGTTTTTCAGGCGGAGACGACGCCGGAGCCACCCGCATCGGCCGGCGAGAAGAGGAGTGGTCGTTGTCTCCATGATTGGTTCCTTCCTTCTCTGATCAGACTTTTTTTTTTAAAAAGAAAAAGAAAATTTAAATTATAGGGAGAAGAGATATAGAGAGATTGGGAGTCTTCCCAGGAGAGGTTGGATAAAAGACGGCTTTTCGGACAGTCCACTAGTCCAATAAATGTTAATTACTTTTGTATGCTTCTATCAACTATCAACCATCAAAATATACTATTTGCCCTTTTGTCCTTCATAACTTTTTCTTTTAATTTGCGCTTGTGGCCCTTGTAACTAGATTCGATCGACTAATGTTGCTCAAAAAATTGAAAGCCCCTTCTACAGGATCCTAATAATCAACCGCGAATGGATTACAAAGCACGTGAAAGCTAGTAATTATTCAGTCATGATGGGATTTTATTTGCAAAGCCCGATAATAATGTAAGCAAGCCCAAAGAAACCCAAAACGTTTTGAAATAAGAAATATTTGGTGGCTCAACTTGTAGATAATGAGCCCAATTCTATATACATATTCGTTACTTGGAGATGAGATGCAACTTTCTAACACCACATACAATAGTAGCTAACTACATATATCAACTCTCTTTTTTTTTTGTGCACGACTACATATATCAACAACTATTCAATTTAAACTCAAGGAAGCTATCCTCGATTACCCTGGACTGTCAAGCACTAGGACATATGAAGACATGACCAATGACCATGCTTTTTCATTTCTCCTCAAATCCATCTTTTTCTGCTCTTGCCAATGATCATCCTCTTATCTTCCTTTAGACACTAACGACAAATTACCCTCCTAGTTCCTATGCTGTGGGGATTTCCTTCCACTTAATTCGAGTCATCTCAGTGCCAAGGATCAGTGGCTCAATGGTAGCGCGACTGACTCTTGTTCCATCTACATTGGATTCAAATTTCCCGATTCTTTGATCTTTTATTTATTTTTATTTACTATTTCTACTTCCAGCTATTTCGCATTAGTGTTACGTATACGTTAGCACAGTTATCGATAAAATCTTCGCTTTGTAATCACGACAAGTCAAACTTTCACGTGCACGTGCTTCTCTCCAACTATTGTCGTCGTAATATATGCTCATGCAACCTATAATCAAAGATCTTAATGTTCCCTATCTACTAAAACTTCTGACACAACAATCTCATTCGCATATCAAATGTGTTGTATTGTGTGATTAATCCCTTGCACATTTTTTTTCTTAATTTGCAGATGCATTTTCCATTACAAAGTGATAGTTTCTACATAATTGTGATATTATTGGTAACAATATTAAAATGTACATGTCTCTAGTAGCTAGTTTAATTGAAGGATCGGATGTGTTGGGACTTTAGTATACTAACTAGGATAAGACCCGCGCCTTGCGCGAGATGAAACTATTATTTTATTATGTTTTTAAATATGAAACAATAGTTCGGTTTCATTCGGATTAGAGGTGTTCAATCCGGATATCGAGTTTCGGTTCGGCTCGATTTTTTGATATTTCGATCATTAAAATATAACTACTATTCTAAATCTATATGTACTTCAGTTTGATTTGGTTTATATACCATCGGTTTTCAGTTTATTCAATTTTATACCAAAAAACATAATTATTTAGTTTGAGATCATATTATATATTATACAAATATATAATATGATCATATTTAGAGTCATATTGTCACAAAGTCATTTATCAAAAAATATTATATATTTAAATAAAAGAATAAAAAACAAAAAAGGCTTCTATCATCTAATAAAATGATCAAATCTAGAATTAATATCAAAACACTAAATTTTAAATTTTGAAAAAAAAAAAACAAAACAGAAGCATGAAAGAAAAGTGTTTATATTATTCCATATTTAGTGTTCATCAAACCAATATGTATTCGATTGAACACAACTTTGTTTGTTTAAAGATAAAAACAAGTTGTAAAGAATTTCAACTAATTGTTGTTCATCAAATTTATAATCTTTACTTCATTTTAGTTACTGTTAAAAAAGCAAAAGATCAAAATAAGAAGTCTTAGTTGTAATAAATTGTTAGCTATTTACAAATTATAATTATAGTTCAACTCAAATATATACATATTTACATGTTTCAGTTTAATCGATTATAAATCAAACCATATCCAAATCCTATGGTTTTTATAAAATCACATCCATTTGGTTTGTATGGTATATACCAAAAATAACCATATTATCGATTGTTAATATCTTTTAAAAATATAAAATTTAAAAAAAGAACTAAGATATTTAAATCATTGATAACAAAAAATTTCAATGTGAAAAATTTAATAAGTTTATAATTATAAATGTTCTTGAAAATTTAATGAAATTTTTTGAAATTAAAATATTTATGTAATCTTATATGGTATATAGTTTAATCTGTATATATATATTTGTTTTATTATTGAATGATACTTTTTACTTATATGGTTTTAAAATCATGTATATCTTTTTATAATAAAATGTTAAACTATTGATCATTAATTTTTAACATAATAATTTTAATAGTTTAGTTATTTATTCTCGTTTC